TGAAAGAGATGATGTGACAGGTGGGTTTGGCAGGAGGGGTCTGATTTTCTATTTGATAGCTCTGTAACCAAATAAAATTGAAGGCTATAAAAATTATGGTTTGTAGAGAGTAATTTACATTTAATTTCGTACTTTTTCATGGGGTGATGGATAAAATAGGGATGATGACATGCTAAGTGGATCACACTAGTGCAATTTCATGATTTTTTTTAAATATTGCTTTGTAGAATTAAGAACTTAAAACTTGTATACTATTAAAATTGGATTATTAGCTAAGATTTTATGCTAATACCTGGGAGCAATAGGGTTAATATCAAAAAAAAGAAAGAGGGTGAAGGGGAGGTTGACAGTTAAGCCTAATGAACAGCATGTGCACAGTATTGTTACGATAGCGGAAATCAGATGACGCTAGGAGCATGCGCGCTGGAGTTTCTAGAAGGATTATGACTTATCAAGGAACTCTGCAAATGTCCTAGTGTTTGCTAAACGCCCTCTATTTTAGTATATAAGCCTGGCAAAGAAAGCCAGCGATAGGCAGATAGATTGAAGAGATAGATAGAGTCAAGCAAACAGTAGGCACCATAAGTCAAGGCCAGAAAAGGGCAGCTTTCAGGAGAAGTTTGAGGGACTTTGCTGGGACTGTAACAAACCTGGGCACAAGAGAGCACAATGCCGGCAACTTCAACACAGGGAAGATGCCTTGGCAGGAAAGGCTACTATCCAGAAAAGTTGTTGGAATTGTGGAGAGCAAGGACATATGAGGAGCCAGTGTAAGAATAACACTACCAATAAGTTAGCCTCAGGGAAACCAGTAGTGGTTGGTGCTGAAGGATGCCCACCAACCCTCATCGTGAAAGTCCCAACAACTAGGTGTAAAATTCCAAGCACACATAGGTGTCTACGTGACAGGAAAGCTGGATGGCCAAAAGAGCAACTTTGTTACAGATTCTACATCTCAGCAAACCCTTGTGAGTATCAAGATGCTAGATCATAAAGGAGTACCAGAAGCCATACAGAATCTCTGTGGTGTGACAGGACATTATACAAGGTTGTGAGGACCAGTGTGGGTAACTATTGAACTCATGGGCATAAAGGACAGACAGGCTAACATTGAAGACCCATGCATATTAAGGTTGGACTATTTACTACTGAGGAAGTGTGTAGTTAACTTTGATAAAATGATGTTTGGGAACAACAAAGGCCAAATTCTGGTAAGTGTTAAAAGAGAGGTTGAACTAAGCAGGTGCCATCAAGCTGAAGTAAAGTGACTGAAGGAGGTGATGATGGTGAAGTGGAACCAAGTATTGACATTAAAGCATAACAGGAGAAAGACCAAGATTTGAAGCCAATAATTGATTTTCTACAAGCGAGGTGTCAAGCTTAAGCCCTGTGACAAAGAACTATTGGGCACAATGGGACCAGTTGAAGCTTGAAGATGGTATTCTTCTCCGAAGAT